ATGGACCAGCTGGAGAAGATTGGCGCTCGAGACATTCTGATCTACAACATTCACAACTGCCGCGTTTCGAACGAGTGAAATGTCGATCCGCCCTCCTGTGCTTTTTATTTTTTTCTGTTTGGTTGATGATGGAAAAGCTGTAATGAATGGTGTAGACCGTCCTGTTGTCCAAACTTGGTTTCTCGACAGTCAGTCTCAACCACTCCATAGTCTCCTCGATAGTAAGCGGCAGGGATTCAGCGCGCGCCATTCCCAGGCTGTGGGTGTTTGTACTTGTTCAAATTATGCCGAGTGGTGATAGATAGCATCGTCGGAGCCGCGTTAGCATGGAAAGCGAGTGGATTGAAGGGAAAGATTCAGCGGGGAGCAGAACGAGCGCTGCGGCACCAATTTCACTCTGCGTCCGCCACTCATGAGCCGTGCTTGAACCACTCACGACAATCTGTTGTTGCTGGGCTGACTCGGGGACTGGCGGGGTGAGATGAGAGTGGGGCAGACAGCCTGTGTTGTTTCGCTCCAATGGCAACGAAATGGCGAAAAGGATTGCCACGACACCTCGCACAGCTCGAATGCGGGCAGGCACAGTTTCGAGTGACTTGCATTTGGATGTCAGCTTCTATTTGCACTTGGTGATGGAGTGAGATTGAGTGGAGGCGAGAGCGAGCGTTTTGATCGAAAAGCGACAAAAGAGGCGCGAACGAAACCCTCCCTTCTGGGGCCTTATGGGAGAGGGTGGGTGGGAGCACGCTGAGTCGCTGTGCAAGTGTGCAAAAGCGGGGAGTTGTCGGGAGTGCCAAAACAGAGCACGGTTGAGCGTCCGCTGAGAGAAGGGGGTTGGAGCTCGAGCCTGGCTTGGTGCTCCCTCGAGAGCTGTCCCTCCTCCCCCTCCGACTAACAAACCAACGCGGCCAACAAGAAACTCAGAGCAGTGCACACTTTGACTTTGGAGTAATCATGTTGAAACTGCCAACATCTGAACAGCATGGTTCAATTGATGTCGAGTTGGATGGTTTAGCCATCTCTGCCAGCTCTTTGCTAAAGATCACGCTCACGGGTCGGTCGGAACAGCACATACCACGACCAAGCAAGACTCGTTTCAGGGATTTCTCGTGTTCAGTGATTGAGATGCGCTGACATTTGACTCTTGCGACGGCGACAGGTCTCGATTCTCAATCAATCTCAATCAACCAGCCGGGTCTGTAATCGTTCAAGCAAGGAGCTGTCCCTTCCGTGTCTCCTGTACTGCATTGGCGCTTTGCATTGCATTTACTCGGACGACAATGTGGGCGTCGCCCTCGCCTCAGACTGCTGCATCAGCGACCTCGGCTCCATCACCAGGGCGGAACGATTCGCTGATGCATCCAAGTAGTACAAGCAGCAACAGTATTAGTAGTAGTGGTAGTAGCAATGGCAGTAGTATCAGTATTAGCAGTCGAGTAGATTTCGGTCTGGCCAGCAGCCGGGACAATGCTCGACAAGCAGTCTCGCTGCATCGGGACCGAAACAAAATTGGTGCCAAACACGATCTCCGTGCAAACACGACACAAGAACGATATAACTCGCCAGGGGCATCCTCTTTGAGCATTGTCTCGGCCCCAAGCACGGCAGGAGGCGCCGCAGCTGCACAGCAAAGCCCCGCACTGCGACATTCGTCGTCTGCCACCGCAAGTGCAGCATCTCCACAAGCTCAGTCGCCGGCCACACAGATGAGTTTGGCATCCGCTACTAGCGTTGCTGATGCATTCATGAATCTGGACCAGTTTTCGCCAGATCCACCAACGCTCTCAGAAATGAACACGCCTTCCATGTCACTTCCCATGTCCTCCGTCGGCTCCCTGCCCGCCAGTCTCATGTCACCTGCGGCGGCGTATCTTGGTCCCTCCCTCGGAGCAAGTCAACAAGTCGGACAGTCATCGAGCAGCCTGACCAGCGCCGTTTCCGCCCAATTGCTTCGTTCGTCTGACAAGTCTTATCTTAACAACGTGACCTCTCCCAGCGTCGGCGGTGGTGATTCGGCACAACCGATGCTGCAAAAGTGCGAAGTCCACATCATGGACGGCCATATAGAAGAGCTATCTGTTGAGGTACGGAGATTTTGAATGTGTTGTTGTTGTTGTTGTTGTTGTTGTTGTTGTTGTTGTTGGCTGGCATCTCACTCTCGTCACGATTTTATCATCACAACTTCCTTCTTCGCTAACCCTTCCCCCCCCCCCCAAAAAAAAAAAAAAAAACTCCATCGCTCATTGGCGACAACCTGCAACAGCCAACAATTCAAGCAGCAGCACTATTCGAAATGGTCGCCCAGCGGGTCGGTCTGGTCGATCCAATCTTTTTTGGCTTAAAGTACCGGCGCTTCGACGGAGAATTCGTGTGGGTCGAGCTCACCAAGCTGGCTCAGGAGCATAGTTGGACGGATTCCAAGCAACCGCGGTCTCGGCGTGCTGTTCGGACACCAGACGCGAGCGCCGCGACAGCAAGCAACGCGTCTTCCCCGACCTCTGTCGATAGCGCTGTGCTTCCTGGCACGTCATCTATGAACGATCTTGTATGGCTGTTCCATCTAGAGGTCAAGTGCTACCCGTTGCAACCGCTTTCGGTCGAAGTGCAGTCACGGCATCTCATTTTTCTGCAACTACGAACGGCCCTGTCCTCCGGCGACCTGATCTGTTGGAGTGAGGAGCAGTGCTACACGATCTCCTCCTTGTTGATCCAAGCCGAGCGCAGTGACTACTACCGAGGCTTTCCAGTCGCCTATCTGCGCGATCCCCGACTCTCGCCAAAATTGTACCTTGACGCGTCAGGCCATCCTGTTCCGTTCGAAGCCAGGTGAGTGTTGCCTTGTTTGACTGGGTTTGATTGTGATGCTTGTTTATTGTTTCGCAGTGTGTTGGTTTCGGTGGCTTTTCGAGAGGTTGCGTGTCGAACGTCGGATCGAAACTGCGGTTGCCTTTCTCTCTCTCCCTCCCATTCAACCAACTCAACTCAGTCACCGACATCTCTTGGATGCGCTTGGTTTGAGTTTGCGTATGTTGACGGAATGACTTTGGCAGTCTTTTTTTTTTTCTTTTTTTTTTCTGAGTTTTCGTATGGAGTTGTCAATGTCACATGTGTTTGTTGGTCGTCCCCCGCTCCTGCCTCACCCCACCCCCTGCCCCATTATCCCCAAATGCACATTTGCGTTGGAGTTGTCTCGATCATGGCTTGGGCTGGCTTGTTGCACTCACCTTTCCGTTATTTGGGTCCTTGATTGGTTTGGCATCTTGTCTGTTTGCCAGATTGGAGCAGCTCAGCAGCCGACACGCTCAACTGGTCGGCACTACTCCCCGCGCGGCAGAAGACTCGGTGCTCCAGACAGTATCGTCGTTCCCCAACTACGGCCACGAGTTTCACGCGGTCAAGGCAAGTCGTTGTCAAAGGAGGGGAGGGAGAGAGTGAAGAGCAGGAAGCAAAAGCCCCGTCACTCCGTGTTGGCGATTGCAAGTGCCAGAGTTGTAAGATCGAGATAGAGAGAGAAAGAAAGAGAGAGAGAGAGAGTGTGTGTGTAGGTGGGGTGGAGAACGAGTGGCTTACAGAGCACAGTCGCCAATGCAATCCTCACTCGGCTTTGCTCTCTCTCACTAGCTGCTCGTGGAAAACGTTGCTGTCAGCTCACCCAACTTTGCTCTATGTGCTACTTGTATTTGGGATCTGGAATGTGACGGGGGTGAACTCTCGTTGACGACGGAACACAGGACGTTGGCGCGGCGGGATCAGCGCGGGATCCAGCAACTCGTCCGCTCACGTTGGGCATTCGCCTGCAAGGCTTGAGCCTGTTTCCGGCAGGAAACGCTTCCACGCCAATCTCGCAGTTCCACTGGCGGGAGATTCAGCAAATCGAGCAGCGCAAGGATCTGCTGGTGATCGAGTGCTCGGGATTGTCAGCGTCGCAGGGCAGTCGCCTCTCCCTCGCCTGCCGCGATCGACGGACTGCAAAGCTCCTGCTGCGATCTTGCATCGACCAGAATCTACTGTGTCGCTTGTTTGACATGAAAGACGCGCCATCGCCTCGCACGCACCCAGCTCCAAGTCACCCTCATCATTCTCGCCAACAGCAGTCCAGCCTTTTGGTGGCAGGCCCTTCATCTTCCTCACAATCTCAAGCATCGCCAAGCCAGTCGCAGCATCAGCATCAGCATCAGCAGCAGCAGCAGCAGCAGCAGCAGTTGACACCGTCGGCCTTCTTTGAGGCAAACATGGTTGCAGATGCCAACCACCACGGCAGCACGGGCTGGCTCGAGGTCGAGCTCATCACTGGCCACCACATGCATCTCATGGCAACCCCGAGAGGCATTGAGATATGCACACCGCAGGCGCTCGCTTCCGCTCGTACTCGAAACGCTGCATTCGACCCCGACACAGCCATGCCGCCACTCACCGCCATCCCATGGAATGAAGTTGTGTCGTTTCATCTGATCAACCCCGAACTCGGGACCTTTGAGATTGCTGGTCTACGCGACGCCCCGCAGCAGCTAGCAGAACCTGCATCATCCCCTGGAGTGGTTGTTGAAACTGTCAGCATTATTCTCCATCTGGTCAATGTCGACGCTTCGACCGCTTTGCTTCAATCTGTCATTGAGGTCCATCGTGGTCAAATGTGGGACCCTGTCTCTCACTGTAAGATGGTGTTGGGTGCATGAAGGATTGTATCTTTTGAGTCTGAGGGTGCAAAAAGCTGCAAGGGTGCTCACTGTTTTTGCCGACGCCCGTTTTACCAACACCACTTTGTAGCAAAACTAGCATTTTCAGTCCAGGGTCAACTTGCTCGACTGGCTAAGAGTTTGGTAAGATTGTTTTGAGTTGTATGTTTTCCTCTCGATGCAAAATAACAAATCAACCTCACCACAATCTGCACAATCTGCTCCTCCACGTGTGCCATGCAGACTCGTATTTTGTTGGTACAATCGCAAGCACCCAGCATGATGCATGCAGTCTTTTCTCCCGGCAATGGTCCTTTCAGTCCACCGCGGTCAACAGCCACGCCCGACCAGAGCGTCCTTCCGGCGCCGCCAAGTTTGCCATTTTCTCCAGCCGACAGCGCGACCGCGCCCTCCCCGTCCCCTTCGCTCGTCCAAGGATCTGCGGTCGCGACTGTCGATTCCGCCGAAGCAAGAAAAGGATTGTCAGTGGATGGGGTTGTCAGGCATCCGTCATTGCCGTCGTACGAGACTGTAACCACAACGACGGAGCGAAGACAAGCAGAGCAGCAGCAGCAGCAGCAGGTAGGAGCGGACACGACGCAGTACGCATCCCATGACGATCCATCATCATCGGGACCGGCTGCAAGTGATGGACAACAAAATGGACACAAGCGGCTGGGCTCTGAGGCGTTCGCCGACGACCCAGATTCCTTGCAGCCTGCACCACCTCCGCGGTATTCGTCGCTTGATGATGCAACGGGCCGTTCTGTCAATGTAGGGTCGCGGCTTGATCCACCATCAACTTCTCGGCTTCATCAAGAGACCCGATGGGCGCCTCCTTCGTTTCACCCAATTCCGCATCCGGGACAACTATACGCAAACTCCATGATGTCTCGCGCCCTCCCATCCTACGCGCAGCTCCAACAGCAACAGTACCAGCAGCAACAGCAGCTGCAGATGCAATCGCCGCCTGGATACGCATCCCCGGGCTACAACCGCCCGCTGCCACCACCCCGTCCTGCGCCTCCGCCGTACTCTGCTGTGGCTTCGGCCTCGTCACCAGCAGTGCATTATTCTACCATCCCTCGAGTAGCGCCCCCTCAGTACATGATGCTATTTCCCCCAGGAGACTCTTCCTCGCCACAGTACGCAGCCACCCCGGCACCCCCGAGTTACCACAGCGACCACATGACCGTGGGCTATGCATCTCGCCCGCCGCCAATGTACGGCGTGCCAATGCTCCCGTACGGTCAGTATTCCGGACTATCGGCCTACGGGACGCCAATGCCTTACCCTGGCAGCCCCATGGCCTCGTGGAATCTTGCCAGCAATTCACCTGGCGGAAGCCACCTTCAATCGGGAGCGTGGGTCCCCAGCTCTATGATTTACCCAAGCGCAGCAACCCCGATGCCAATGACTCCGCTGGCACCTCTGGACCCACCCAGCAATGGCTCGGAATCATCCAACATCCACGGCCGTGGGCCGTCCATCGGCGGTACGAGCGGGCTGGCTGACTCACCGGCGGATGTCAAGCCGGCGAAAGGACGATCTCGCAAAAAGAAAACGGCTGCCAAGCAGCCTGACGCACCGTCAACCAACGCGCAGTCGGGCGCTTCCGTTGCAGACCAACACGGACACTCGTCGATCACGCCTGTCGCTGGTGCTGGTGCAGACCTTGGTCAATCGTCCATCACGCCTGGCGATGGTGCTGCTGGCGCTGGTGCTGCCGTTGAAGGCGCCACTGACGACAACCCCGGCACCACTGCCAATCCCCTCGGCCCCCGGCGTCGCGGACGACCCACCAAACTTGCCAAGGCTGCGCGCGATGCAGCGCTTGCTGCCGCTGCAGAACAGGCCGCCATCGTGGCATCCCAACTCGCTGACGAGGCAGACGCTTCGGCCGACGAGGAGCAAGGCGGCAACGCCATCGCATCCGACTCTCCAGCGGGCCAGGATTTGCCCGCGAGTCAGCCAGCTCCGCGCAAATCCAGGGCCAATGCTGCTGCCACAGTCCTCAATGTCATCACAGGCCAGCCCGTTGTCGTCGTACCCTGCGAAGACTCTGCAGGCGTCAAGCGCTTCCCTTGCCCTCACTGCGAAATCATGGCCAGCACAATGGCCCACCTGCGTGCCCACATGCGCAGTCACAGCGGTGAGCGTCCGTTTGCTTGCGCCCACGATGGCTGCGGCCGCCGCTTCCTGCGACGAGAAGAGCTGATTCGCCACCTCCGATCGCACACAAACGAGCGACCGTTCAAGTGCAGCATTTGCACCCGACCTTTCACGCGGTCCGACCATCTTGCCAAGCACATGGGCACCCATGCAGACGTCAACGAATTTGTCTGCAAAGTGGAAACTTGCAAGAAGGCGATGGCGAAGGTTGAGACGCTGGTCAAACATCTGCAGTTGCACATGTCGGAAGTTCCAAATTCCAAGGTCGCGCCCGCACATCTGTATGCTGTCTGCATCACAGCTGCCGCCCAGCTTTCCGGCACTGGCATCGAGGAACTCCGTCAGTCCCGCGAGTCGGGAGGCACGGCGCACCGCTTTAGCCGCGCCCACGACACGAGCGTGGTGACGCAGCAGGATGTGACCGAGTTTTTAGCCCAATGGAATGAAGACCGTCGCGTGGCCATTGAGCAGCATGCGCAACTGCTCGCAGCGCGTCCCAGCAAGCCGCTGGCTACCGCCGGCGCTGCAAATACGGAAGAAGACGACAGAACTGACAGTGATCCTGGCAACGACGTCAACGCTACGGCCTCCGACTCTGCGACCGACGCTGAAGATGCTAACGAGAGTTGAGCCAAGTTCTGAGGATTTCCTTGTGCCTCGAACGGCAAAACGATTCTCCGCGTGGAATGTTTTGCTGTTGCTTTTGATGGATTGTCTGTTGTGTATCTTTGTGTCTGTCTGGAATGCTGCCCGTTATCGACATTAATTTATAGATTTGAATTCATTCGTGGTGAAACTGGGTATTTGAACTGTATTTTTTTTTTTTTCGCATGCACAGAGCCGGGGTTTGTTCTTCCCACAATTTCACTCCATCATTCGCATTTGCTTGGCTACTCTGTTGCCGGAAGATATGGGTGCCTGGGGCAGCTGGATTTGGGGCGCACGCAACAGAAACAGCGGTTAGAACGATCACACAAACCAGTTTGAGCAACATGTCGATTGCGGTTCAACGCACCATTGAGCCCAGTCCCAAATTGTTCAGTGTTTGGTTTTCCAACGAGTCGTCTCCTGCTTCCTCGTTCGGCCGCTTGCTTGATTTACGAGTCTGCTTTGTTTGGCAATAAAACCACAAATGTGGGGAGATGGGCATTGAGCAATCCTCGTTTTTGTCTGCTTGTTTTGATGTTTTGCATGCGTTTTGTCAACAGTACCTGTTTGCTGTCCTCTACAGCCTCCTCCTGCTCTCGCACGGCCGTCTCAAGTTCCTTGTGCAAAATGCGAAAGTCGCGTGTCGTGCTGCGCTTGTGAGTGCGCATATAATTGATCTGTCAATCCGAACAGCAGCAAATTTGGTCAGAGAGTCGCAGCATTGCGAGTCGCATGTTCCTCGTCCCTCAAACTCTGTGCAAAGTAGTGACTGCTGCTGTCGTACCGACGCTTTCTTGGAGAGCTGAATGAGGAAACGCTCGAATTGCTCGATACTGTAGATGGTATTCGGAATCACACGGCTTTCGCGGCCGATGCGTGCCTGGTGCGTGCCCGAATCGTCAGTCTGCAGACGGCGTTCCGAAAAAAGCAACCCACGGCAACCAAACGTAACCAGCTTACCTTGTTGGACGACCCCTTCTTGCTGCCGACATCTTGCTCGGCTCCTTCTTGCTCGACAAAGGTAATCAGCCCGTACACGTTTTCTGAAAATGAGCCCGTCAGAATCGCCAGGTCCGCGAAGGATCCGGCAGGATTGATGTGCAGGACGGTCTTGACGCGCAGGTGCTGTGCAAAGTCAAACAAGGCAACAAATACTGAATGAGCTCAGAGCACACCTCATCAGGAAGAGAAGGAAGAAAGGGGAAATACAAAGTCAAAAAATCCTGACGTCGTACATGCTTCACAAGATTGGTCAGGAACACAAACAACCGGTTGACCGATTTAAAGACCGCCTCCGCTGCCACGTTTGTCAGAGACATCTGAGAAAGCGTCGAGACAGCTTTCACGGCGGTGGAGACAACGGCATGAAGCTGCTCAAGTCGCGGCTTGTAAGCCACTGCCTGCTCTCCTTCTGGATTGTTAGACCGGTGGTTAGAAGCCGCAAGTCCGTCTGTTCAGAGCAAACAATGTCATGTGAGCAAAAAAACGAATCAGCAAAGAACTGCTCGAAATCGCTCAACCTCCATTTTGTTTTTTTGTTTCTGTCGTACCGTTGACGAGCTGAACAGTCAACTTGTCAACCAGCCATTCAAAATCGTCAAAAAGGTCGTTCAAAAAGGCCAAAGTGGCATTCAGAACGTGCTGGGCAGTGCCCGCGTGAACGGCCGCAAACTCGCTTTCGGCACCACTGGGCGAAACCGAAGGAGTTACATCGTTGTTTCGCATTCCCAGCACCGCTGCGATCGCCTCACAAACTTGCGGAAGCTGGGGGGGGGGGTTGCGACGACCAAGGGGAGGTGAGACTGACACAAAATTCGCACGACATTGGGCACAGGAACAACAACCACGCACCTGAGGCAGATACTGAGTCTGCTGGCGAGCCAACGTTAACAATTGGGTCGTTACTGCCTTCGTCACATTGGAGTCTTCAAGATGGTGAGAGGAAAAAGTGTTGAGAACCCATTCTAAACAGTGCTGTCCGCGGGCGCTGTTTGGGAGCAACTTTCCGGCCAGCTTGGTGACAATCTGCACGAGCTCTGCGATTTGCTTGTTGGCAGGGTTGTCGGACGTCAAGAAGGATGCAATCACGCGCTACCAAGCATCCATGCATGATTTTCGTCAGTCAGTCGTGCCAGATCAACCAAAAGACAAAACCCCAAATAAAACAAAACAAAACAAGAAAACGGGCTCAATGTTCCACGTACCAGGTAATGCCGAATGCAGCCATGAATGCGACCATCTGTGTCGTCCTTGCCTGCAGTAACGTTGCCACCAAAGCGGGGTACATTCAGTACGCTCAAAAACTCGGAGAACTGGTCGGGAAATTCTCGCAGAACAAGGTCGAGCGCCAAGTCCACGCACAGCGCAGCGCCATTCATCATGGTCTACGGTACGAAAAGTTGGCAATCAAATGGAACGCAAAAATGGAGAATTGAGGACTGAGGAGAGTGGTAGTAATGCACGGAAATGCATGTGTGTGTTTTGGTCAAACTCACTCGATCGGATTCCCCGCCTTCTGCTGCCGCATGATGAACCATCAAGGCAATCATGATGCGCGTCATGTCAATCAGCGTGTCGTACTTGGCTGCTCCAGCAAAGGCCATCGGATTTGCTTGGGCCTGTGCGAAAAAATAAAGTCACAAACAATGATTGTCTCCGAAAGGACCACCAATGCGTCACACTACCTGCTGAAGATACTGCACGCAGAGAGACATGGAAAACCGGCGCAGATAGTCGTTGGTGCTACGCAGCCGCGTTACATCCGCCTGCGGGGCAGGGACTGTCGTGTCAAACAGAATGTGTGCCAACCGCGAGATTGCCTCGGTGGAGAGAGCCGAGGCTGCTGGTTGAGCAGGCCCCTTGCTCCTAGCGGCGCCGGACTTGCCTGTTGGTGTTGGATTTGGCACACGAAAATCTGAGCCACCAGACGGCCAACAACAACGACGAGCGAAATGGAACAACGAGCGCATTTTCTTGTCACCTTTCGCGCCGTTGGCCATCAGTGCTCCAACAGACGCATGCAACTTTGACAGCCGGTCAAGTTTGACGCACGTATCACTGGTAAGTTGAGGAAGTCGCACAAAGTGCTCGATGAGGCTCTGTAGCCACAGCAACGAGACTGTTGAGTTTCATTTCATCATCGCAAAAGAGAGAAAAACACAAAAAGAAACACGAGAGATGTCAACCAACCTCATAGATTTGCTGAAGTAGCTCCGCTGTCAGCAAGTTACGAGCACCAGCGATGGAATTGCGCGAAAACTCGGCGGCAGAATCCAATCCCCAATCTTCCAGGGTGCTATTGAGGATTTGGTGGAGCATCGTATCAATGCTACTATTGATCACGTGTAGCGTCGCATTCTGTGACTCGTCGTCAAGGGCTGCTGCTGCGGAGAAACAAACACGATTGGAAGCGCCCACGTCAGAAATTGTGAAGCACAGAACGACGTGAAGTGAAGCGCAACAAGACGACACTGCCGTACCTGCGGCCTTGCGATGGGAAAGCTCAGCTTTGCATGCCTGGTGGCTCTGTAGTGTGGCGAGAAGAAGCGCGCCAATTGGCTCGCTCATTGCAACATCGCCGGCCCCGGACGTCTCAATGCATCGATTCAAGCGAAGCGGCGCTCGACTGGTGTTGTCGTTTGGCAGGTAGCCGGCCAGCTGCAATGGTGAGCCCAAAAGCACAAAAACACGACACACTTAGAAGAGCGCGCTGGTACGACGAAACAAAGCACAACTGGCGCGCGCAACAAACCTGATGATGCAGCAAGTCAAGAATCTCAGACTTGCCAACCACGTTGCTGGCCACGACAGTCGCCAGCCCGTTGTACAACCGAAGGCGCACCGAGGATTGCTGCGTCAAGCATCGTCGAACGGTGCCAATAATTTCAAAGCAGATGGAGACATGATCATGCGCGGCTCCAAACGAAGCGGAACCGGTGGCAAAGGCTTGGGACGAGGCCACCATTGCGTGCGCTTGACGGGATTGCATGACAACGGCCCGCTCGCCGGCTGCGCGAAGAATTTGCAAAAAGCCAGTCACGGCAATTTCTCGCGAGTCTGAATCTCGAGAGAACAACGACTTGCGCAAAATAAGCATGACCGAATCTTGGAGTGCACGATTCAACGCCATCAGCGGCTGAATGGCAAGCAGCAGTCCTTCGGCGGCGGCAGGACACATGTACGACAAGTAATCCAGCGCATCATGAATCTGCTCGCATAGATGAAAAAAATGCGTCAATCGCAAGCACAAAGTGGAATGTGTGAACAATTTCAAAACAAATTAAAGGAGGGAGGGGAATCGGCTTGCCTTGGACACATGCTCAAGTACGCTTTGAGGAGCAGTGGACATGATGGTTTGGAGCAAATCCACGTTGAAGGTCACGCTGGAGCGCGACTTGACAACCACGCGTGCCAGTAGAAACTCGACAATATCGGGACGCGCGGCACTGTGAATCTGCTCAAGAAGGAACGAAAAAAGTCAGGGGCAACGTGCATGGCCGACACCTGACGTTAATCTGACGTTTTGAGAACAAAAAAACCACGCTACTTTAAATGCCTCGAGCAGAAGCTTGCTTGCCAGCCGAGAGATGAACATTGCGTGGCTGGATGTCGAGGCCTTGGTATCTGTCCACCAAAGAAATTGCAGCTGCTAGTCAGTCATCGGACAGACCAGCCAAACGCAAAGGTCTCGTACCACTGGCAGCCTTAGGTCCGTAATGATCCAACAATGCAAACCCCCAGCGCACAATCGACTCGACAGCAGCGTCGGACGCGGAATGACAATGTCGAAGAGATGCCATGACGACATCTTCCAAATCGTTCTCTTGCAAGGAGGGATCTGTTCAACACAAGCAAAAACCCGTTGGCTTTTTTTGGTTTCGTTTTCAAAATTGCTGACACGTTTGCCTTGCGACTCGCCTTGGAGCCATGGTGCCTTCTTCTGCGTCTCTTGATCAATGTACCAATCAAGAAGCCGTCGCTTCAGAAATTCGTAAACCTGGCCATTGGTCAAAACCAAATCCAAAAAAAAAAAAAACAAAGCGGGAGCATCAGCCGTCATTCACGATAAACCAAACAGTGCGAATCGTTGCCGCAAGAGAGCCGTACTTGTTCCTGGAACGCCTCAATGTTCGCCATCGTGAATAGCAATGTCGTGTTGAAGAGTGTGAGGGCTGTCCAGTCGCAGCTTTTGAGGTGCTTGAGATAGGCCTTGCCCAGCTCCTGCCCCAACGAATGTGATGCACGAGTTAAGGACGCCAATAGAAAAAAGTCGCTCCTTTTCTCAAAGCAACACGAGAAAGAAGAGACACTCACTTGGTCTTGACGAATGGCATAAGAAAGGTGCAGCAGCACCGTGCCGTCGGTCGCAATGACATTTTCTGGGGTGGACGAAACAGATTGGATGCCTTCTGCATCCTCTTCCTCTTGGTGGACAGGTCTTGAGGAAGGAACGAGTGAAAGCAAAGTACATGGAAGGGAGGAAAGTTGGTCGGATTGGCACAGCTGACGCGCGACAGGGTTTCAAGCTACCAAAATGTCCTTACCGCGACTTGCTGCCAAAACGAGAGCGGTGAAGCGAATCCATGTGCTCGGCAATGCCCTTGAGAATGAAGAGCTTTTCCCCTTTCATGCTGAGGACCAGCAGCTGGTACACGAGCGCCGGAAGCTCAATGAGGGCGATTTCTTTCAACCTCCTGCAAGCCACACAGCGGGGAAATTCACCAAGTGAAATGGGCAGCCCAAGGTTTGGAAACAATAAACCATTGACTGCTGCAACCATACCGAATCACTTTCTCGACAAAGAAATGCAGCTCCTCCTCTGTCAGCGGGAGGCGTCGGAAGGTCGCCACGAGCGGGGTCACAGCCATGTCGTCCCAACGACACGAGCAAATTTGGTTGACAATCAACGATTTAAACTCGGCGCCCGCCATCCCTTTGGCTGCATTCATCGTGAGTCCTGAGTTGGTTCAAAATAAAACAAATAAACAAAAAAAAAAAAGTTTGAGTAAACCAAACAAACCGACGACTGTCAAAAAGTACAATACCTGTGACTTCGGGGCTGTCGCATGAAATCCAGGGAACCTTGAGAACAGCGCTAATCAAGGTAGGCAGAAGATCGAGAGAGGCATAGCTCCGACGACGAGGAAGCAGGGATTGAACGGCAGGGTAATTGCTTTTCGGAGACGTGTCCCCGCCTTTCAGCGCGACCACCATATGTACAAGGACTGCCAATGCTGTTGGTGACCATGGTTTGGTGACAGCGTTCACCACATGATGCAGAGCGTCCAAGACGCCCTTGGCTTCCTCTCCCAAGTCGGCGTCGAGCTTGCGGATGACATGACACACTGCGGCCACCTTGAGGTGCTCCATGTCGAGTTCGTTGCAAGCTGCTTGGCAAAATCAGTTTGAGACGGGTGAGCGATTTTGATATGAATGCATGGGAGCAGCGACACTGACCTGAAGCGACGGCTTTGAGCACCGAAGCAAGCGATCCAACCGCGCCGTCCAGCATTTCAATCATCTGAACGCAGAAGGAGAGATCAAAAAGAGAGAGAGAGGGAGAGACGTTGTGAGAACCAGCAAGAGCGAACAAGCGATCGAGAGATAGATGGTGAAACGAAACGAAACAAGGGTTTTGAAACAACACAATTTTCCCGCCAAAATTAAAATTCACGTTTTCCCTCCACTACGCTCGCTCCAAGTGGGAGCCGGGGCGCGAGTCTGGTCGCATTGTAAAACGCCAACGAGGCAGACTCAATCTTGCGCGTGTGGGAAGCGGCAAGCAGCGCTCGCAATGGAAAAGAAGTGAGAACCGAAAGGGTTGCAAGCCACCAACCTGCTCGCTGCTCGTGCAAAGACGGAGCTGCCGCTTGACACGCTCGAGACCCTCGCGACGGCGATGGCGCGTTTGGGATGAGGCAGACCGTGGTGTCTGCGATGCGGGCGGGGCTGCTGCGGCAGCAGCTGTGAGATGCTGGGGAGGTGCGACTGCTGCTGCCGGCTGCGATCCAAACAGACTTGGCTCGCTCTGGAGCAGCGTTGCAAAGCTATTGTCCCCGTCCATCGCCATTCCTGCAGAAGCGACGCTGGTGTTCGATTGCGCGGTGGGCTCCGGGCGGAGAGCGATGGTGCCGAACGCGCTGCCTTCAGCGAGCTGGCAAGCCGCGACCAGTTCTCTGCTGTCCATTGGCGTTGAAAAGACAATGACTGAGATTGCATTCGCTCAGAGAGTTGGAAACTTTCAATGTATTCGACACGAGACATTCAAACACTAGCACGAGAACACAAGCAGCAACATAGCATCAGCAGCAGCAGCAGCGACAACAACAAGTACAACAAGTACAACAAGCACACCAAGTACAACAAGTACAACAAGTACAACAAGGCAACATCAACATTGCAAACAAACATCAACATTGCAAACAGACCAACACAACAAGCTGACTAATACACGCACTCTATTCACTCGTCTGCGGCTTCGCCAGTGGAAACCTGGAAGCCTTGACGCTGGGCATTGTCGATGACTGTCTGCTCATTCTTCTGGACATCGTCAATGATGGCGAAGAGCTTTGTGATTAAAGGCTTCAGGACAGCGTTCGACTCGGCCTTCTTGGCCAGATATGGGCGCTTCTTTTGGAGATGGTGGTTGATGAAGGCGAGCTCACGCTCAATATCAACACGGACACCGACGCCAGCGGATGCAGCGGGGTGGACCGTGGAAGAGATGGTCGGGCCGTGGTTGGGAGGGAAGGTCACAAACACGGACGAGTGCTTGAGCATGGGGACAATCGCGGCAATGTCGATGGGGGCGTCGTACAAGGCCATCGTCTTGTCAATATCGCTGGCTGTCTTGGGGCCATAGTAGACGGTCGAAACTTCGGTCAAAAACTTGCGCATCTTGTCCAGAACGTGATCCTCCTCGAACGAGTTGTTCATCATGTTCATCAGATGCTCCTCCTTTTGCGAGAAAAGTCGAAGATTGGCCAGCGTTTGGACAGTCTTGCTCACCAGGGTGAACAGACGGCGCGATCGTTCCTCGGGAATGTCTGGCACCAAGAGGAAGGGGTGCAAATGCGGGCCTTGGAGCGCTGCACTGAACAAGCGAAGGAAGATGAAGCTGTAGGGGGGGGGGGAACAAGACAATGAAATGAGCCCAGTGAATCATGCAGGCTGTTCCAAAACGAACGAAAACAAAGAAACGAAAACGAAAAACTAAACCAAGAAACGAAAACGCCAACCTACCCGCTGATGGCTGTAAGACCCTTGTTTTGGTCAGCATCGCCAAATTTGTCAGCCATGGCAACACGGATGCCTTCGAAAATGACCACCAGATCGCGAGGAACAGTGGCAGACGATTCAAACACCGACTTGGTCACACGATCAATGAAGGATTTCAGTCGTCGCCAGTTTTTCATCAAGTCTTCACCCTTGTCCATCTGCGTGGGATCGATTTCGCAAGATTGTGTGCACGAAAACATGTCGTACGCAACCTAAAAGGATGGAGACCGGGTGAAAGCGGAATGAAAGCAAAGATTGCAAACAAATGCAATATCAACAAGTGAGATGATGCCACAAGGGACGAAAACGCCCGAAAACTCCCGAAAGAAAAAAAAAGCGGTCTACATACCTCGTCCATGGTTTCATGAAGATAATCTTCACAGCAAATCTTCATAAACTGGTCCATCGCCTTCGTGGCCATGGTGTTGCCACGGAAGATGATGGTGGGCTGGTCGGTGGCGAAAATCTCACAGCGCGTCAGGGTGCGAAGGAACTTTGTGATTTGACCAATGCCCAGGAAGAAGCGAACGAGCGAGCCGGCAAACTCGCTCTTGGCCTGCGCCGTCGAGTCCCCGTTGAGTGCGTCATAGATGAGATTGACCATGTTCGTGTCGGCATTGAGCGTGTTGAGCAAGAACACAAACAGCGAATTGTACGTCGGCAGGGGACAGATTCGCTCCACCGTGTAGCGCAGCTCGATGCGCACCTTGCCAATGCCAGATTCGAGCTGGTACCAGTTGCCGCCGGCACCGACATTCTCCTTGTTGAGCGTTGTTTGAGCGAGCGTGTGGAAGGGCATCGTGATGCGTCCAATCTCGACATCCTTCTCCTTGGCGCTCGTGCCCATGCGCCAAATGACAATGCTCATGTCAAAGAACGAGTGCCGAATGTCGTCGAAATGGAACTGGGCCATCCACTCGACCACGCCCTCATTGTCGCGCTTGGAAAAGGTGCGCGCTTGCAGCTCGTTGTCAAAGTGAATGTTGCAATAGTACATGTTTGAGCTGGCGCCCTTGCCACTGGGGAGCAACTGCGCAGCCGCAGACGAGTTGCGGTCGACGTGGAGCGCGTTGACACCCAGTTCAAGCGAGGTGACGTGCCGGAGCGACTGCGAGGTGAGCATGGCCGCGCGCAGCTCCTCAATCCAGTGGTGGCGCTCCTTGACCGACTCCACCACAAAGTAGTACTTTGTCAGATGGCGGCTCTCTGGCATCGAGTCTGCGTCGAACAGGCGATCTGAATAGCGTGACGACTGTGCCTCGATGCAAAAGCAATTCTCCACACCAAACAGCGAGTCGTCGACGAGCCGAATCGACATTTGAGGACCGCTCACGCCATCCCGCGGTGAGCCAGTCATGGTGGAGTCGGGCGAAGAAGGGCGACTGCCGCCAGGGCTCGTGCTAAAGTTGAGCTTGTGGGTGAGCGAGTTGTGCCCAGAGCCCGGTGCCGAGGAAGGGAGCGAGGACGCTTCGCTTTGGAGGTTGATCGACAGCAGTGGCTCGGACGTGTGCTCGTCCGGATGGACATACAGGGTGGACTTGCACAGGACAGAGTAAATGACACCCCATTCGCCATCCTTGCGGCGGATGAGCATCTTGCCTGCCTTGTGACGTCGGAATGCGTGAAAGGGAAGAGGTCGTCGACAAAGAGCACGAGCGTCTCCAGCAGCACGTCGTTGGCATAGAGCACGTCTCGGCGAACAGAGGCCGTGTGCTGCCCGTCATCAT